TTTTTTGACTATATCTCGCCACTGCCTTCGGGCTTGTAGGGTTTCCTCTGATAGGTCTGCTGTGAATCTAAGGGATGCTCCTTTGTATGTGATTTCCTTCTTTGCTCTTGCTGCTTGCAGTATTGTGTCTCTATCGGCAGTATCGATCATTCTAACTATGATATGTCTTGGAGTGTTTTTGTTGGGGTCTCTTTTAGCTGGCACCCTTTGGGCTCCTTGAACCTGAATGGCTGCATTGTGCAGCTCTGGGAAGTTTTCAGCAATGATTTGTTTGACGGTGTTTTTTTCGTTGGGATTGTTTCCCTGAGGTTCAGGTAGCCCCATGATTCTAATATTGTTCCTCTTGGAATCATCTGCTAGGACTCTGATTCTCTGTAGAGCCATTTTGAGGTCCCTTGCCACTGTTTGTTGTTGCGTGTTGGCTTGTTGCAGCTGATCTTCCAGGTCACTGATTCTCTCTTCAGCTGCGGTCATTCTATTTTTAAGAGAAGAAACTGAGTTTCTCATTTCATCTATGGAATCTTTTAATCGTGACATTTCTGCCCTCATTTCTTCTCGTAATTTGTCGATTTTTTTCTGTGGTGTTACTGGCTGTCTGTCTGACTGTTTCATTGAGTTGATTGAACATCTTGATGACTTCGTATCTGAATTCTATGTCAGAGAGGTCCCTTAGGTGAGCTGTATTGACAGAATGGTCTAGATTGTTTTCGTTGTTCTCCCCTTGTGTTGGAGATTTTCTTTGTTTCTTCATATTGCTGAGTAGGTTGGGAACCAGATTCCTTGGGGACTAGTTTCCTTAGTATGGGAAAACAACCTGCGGTCCCGTGAGCATTGGCCTGCTGGAAATTAAGCCACGCCCACTTTTGAGGCCACGCCCACTTTTGAGGAGGCCACGCCTCTACAGAACCCTGGGTTTGGGATGAGATGGGCACCGCCATCAGGAGTGAAGAGGGCAGGGCAGCCGCTCAAAACTGCTTCTCTTCAGGCATCTCGGGGGACACCTGGGGTCCTGCAGGGAAAGATGGAGGTCCCAGGGTCATGAGCCGGCAGCTGTGCTGACCTGGAATTAAGATGAGATGGGTGCCGCCGTCAGGAGTGAAGAGGGCAGGGCAGCCGCTCAAAACTGCTTCTCTTCAGGCATCTCGGGGGACACCTGGGGTCCTGCAGGGAAAGATGGAGGTCCCAGGGTCGCGAGCCGGCAGCTGTGCTGACCTAGATGAGGTGGTGAAGAATCAAGTTATATAATCAGGCATGCAGCTTTATATGGTGTAGTAATCAAGTCCTTTTCTAATTTCAAAGATTCTGTTCCTCCTGGTTCTTTATACCTTCAGTTCTTATGAATACAGAGGCACTATGATGAACCATGCCATAGGATCCTTACGATGAGTTCTTTTGAATAGTCTACTCAAAACTGCCTTAAAACACCTGACAGTGCCATTGGTGGACGTTAGTGGAGTATGATCTCCTCTAAAATGAGGGATAAGGGAGAAGGAGGAAGAATGGATCCAGGACACTCAGGATCCAATACAAAGAACATGAAACAAAGAGTGCAAGCTGGCGCCCTTTTTGGTTCCAGTTGCCAGCATGAAAAAAATGTCTGGATCTCAGAGATAGATAGTCCAGTGGTTAGGAAGTTTCACTTGCCAAGTGCTAGCCAAGGATCCCATATTGTCTCCGGGCACAGCCAGGAGTAAGTCCTGAGTATAGACAGGTGTGACCCCAATCACTTTATCTGCTCCCACCCCCTAAAATAAAGAAAAAAGAAAATGGCCTCTTCTCTTGGAGCAGCACCAATTTCCTCCCCCAGGCTATGGGTGGGTCCCTTGGGGTGAGCTGTATAGCACCCACAGAGCAGAGGAGAAAGCTGTGGGCAGAGCCACAGGCTGTTTGGGGGATGGGTGGAAAGTCCCTCCCACAATTTGTAAACAGTCAGCCATCTGGTTCCTGCAGCAGCAGCTGCTCCTGTATTTCTGCACAGAGGAAATCATGGGGCAGGATGTTAAGACCCCAGTTGCAGAGGAGACCCCCGCCCACCCTGCCCTGCCCACCAGAAACCCCCGGCTTGGTTGGGCCCCCCACCCTGCTGGACCTGACTCTGCTGCTGGTTCTGCTCTCACTGCCCTGGGCACTCACCAGAGACTGTAAGTGACCACTTCTCCTATGCTCAGACCCCAGTCTCCCTCAGGCACCCAGCTAGGCCTGTGCAGTACTTGCCCCACCCCTGCTCCCACCACAATTAGGATCAATGGTCCCTCGGGCCCCTGAAGCCCTCAAGAATTAGCAATTCCAGTCCTGTGGGTTCAGTCACTCTGCAGAAGGGGCACAACACCCCATTCCACTCTGCACCCAGACAGCTGGCTCTGAAATCCCCATTTGTCAGCATTTATCCAGCAGTGATCTCTCCCTGCCCCCTCACCCCAATGTTTCAGGGACCAGGACGACAGCTCTCAAGTCAGCCTCAGCTCAAAACAGGGTCAGGCACTGACCCCCTGGACAGGCTCCTCAGTGTCGCCAGAAATGCTGGAGAGCAGAGGGGATGAACTTTCCATGAGTGAGAGGTCATCAGACCATGTTCTCAGGGGCTGTTACTGGGGCTCAGGGTTCCAGGCTGGGTTCCAGGGTGTCTGAGCAGGTGCTTGGAGCCAGGTGCTTTAAAGCCCTGGTCGGAGCTGTGAGTTCAAGACACTCAGAGAATCTTTTGCAGATTTGGAAAGTGGTTCAGAGTCTTTCCAAGAGAAGTTACCACATGGGGTGTTTCTTGGCCCATCTGGCAAAGGATCTTGTGTTCTTCCTCCTCTCCCCCCACTTACACACTTTAAACACCATCTTGGTTTAGAGAGTTGTATATGATGAATTTCTACAGGCATTCAATATTCCAGTATAATTCCACCACCACTTTCATCTTCCCTCCACCATTGTCTCCATTTTCCCAACCACCTGTCAAGCCTGCCCCCGTAGCAGGCCCTCAATAATTTATTTCATATTGCGTGTTACCAATTAAGGCTAACAGAATGATCAAACAGTATTTCTTTATGAGAAAATTAGTGAAAAATTTTGTATCTCATCACGCAGATATTAAGTCCTTGTCTGAGGGATTATTATGATTCTGTTACAATTTCAGCTTCCACATTAATAGTTTTGCTATCCAGATTAATTGGCTTCTACTTTACATTTCATCCAATCTGGTGAGCTGCTACTGGATTGTCAGGGTTGCCGTGTCTTGATATTACAGCAGAGGTGCTGGTTGGTGGGTAAGACTGCAGGGCTTCTGGAAATATAGGGAGATGTGGGGAGGTAGACCACCCCAGTTCCATAAGGCTGGGGACTTTCAGTCTCAGAGACCCATGTACCTGAGGTGTGGCAGGGATAAGTTCACTGTGAGGCTCAGTAGTTTTGAGGTGATTGGTGTAGGAGAGAGCCGCTGCTGAGATATTATTTGGGTGTGCAGTGACCTGCCCCCTCTGAGTGTTATAGGTGGAGGGAGTGAGGTGCACATGGCAAAGTTTAAGTCAGGTATTGTTTATCAGCTAATCAGTGACTGTTTTCTCTGCCAAGAATTTGAACAGGAGAGCAGCCCCCCAAACTATCTTCCAGAGCTTTCTATGAACTCTTTCTCTTCTCATGCTAAGTTAGCAGGCAGACCTCATACAGAAACCAAAGATAAGCAATTAGTAAAGCAATGTATTGATTACAAAATAGGACTATTAATAGGACAGTAGGTGAGCAATTCACTGATTAATATAGAAACCACCCCCCAAATAAGAAACTAAAGATAGTTGAAAAATAGTAAAATAAACTCAAAACAGTCAGATAATAGTTAAACAACTGATTGATTTTGGGACTAAAAATGTAAGCAAGTAGGCCACCCTCTTTATTGATCCCCAACATCCTGCACTTGTTTTTCTACCAAGTGAGCACACGTACTGCCTATCTCCCAGAGGAGCACACATCCTGCTTTTCTGCCACGTAAACATGCATCATCTTACTTGTCAAAAGGGCTTACATTCTGGGTGCAGGGTCAAAGACAGTTTGCCTTTTTCTCAAGGAAGCAGGGTCAGTTGGTCTTTCACACAGAGAGCTCCTCCCACCCACCAGTGTCCCCCCCCCCCCCCCACACACACACACACACAGTGTCTCAGCCAGTTAAGGGTCTGAGAAGTTTTCTTAGCTAGTTGATCCCTTTAAAGATTTATTTATGCGTCTCTGGAACAAGGCTGGTAAAGATGAGCCTATGTGTTGACAGAGGTGGTGGTTTATGGGAGCGAAATATCCCTGTTACTTGGAAGTGGAACAGAAAGTGAAACCCACTTCCCCTGCCTCTGACCAAGCTGCTCCATGCCTGTATTGGGTTCCTCTTACTCCCAGGCCCCCAACAGCACAGGGGCAGTGAGCGTTCACTGCCCTGTTGGTGTGCATGTCCCCGAGAACCCATGGGTAATGGTGTGAGAGACCCACACCCCAGTCCAATAAGTCAGAGAAACAGCAAAAGTGAGGTGCAGTGAGGTGAGGTGTGTCCTGGCCTCTGGAAAGAACAGGTGTGGGCTGGAGGAATCTTGGCTCAGGGAGCGGCTGGGAGACTAAGGACTGAGATGGGGGAACCCCTGGAACAGCCCTGACTGTGGGAGCACTCGGCAGTGCTCACTGTCCTCTCATCCCTTTTCACTAACTAGGAAAGGACCAGAGAGGCCCAGGAACCAGCCTAATGCTTCCCAGTAGAGCTCGCTTTCTTCTCTTTTTCTTTCTTTCTTATATTATGTTTTTGTTTTCAGGCCATACTGTTGTGAGTTGAGAGTAGCCAAGAAGTCTGGTTCACACATGTTTGCCTAATTAAAGAGCCTTTATTAATCTACCCCACACTCTCCATCCTGCTGACTTGCAGGTGACCACTCAGCTGAATAGCCCTGAGCTCCTCCCCATCCTGACCTGGATCCCAGGATCTGTAGCCCCTCAGCCTGGCCCCTCTCCTCTCCATCTTTCTTCCTCCGCCCCCCCCCCACCAGGGACCAGGAAGGTGGTCGTGCTGGCTCCCGTGGAGTTGCGTGGCTCCCTGGGTGATACCCTGACCCTGCCGTGTCACCTGCAAAGTCTGGATTCCAAAACCCAGCGGGTGACTCTGATCAGTTGGAAGCGGCTGGACTCGCTGGGGGATCCCAGCATTGTGGCCGAATTCCACCGGGAGCAGGGCCCCAGCATCCCGGAGGCCGACCGTGTGGAGTTCAAGGCTGCCAGGTTGGGTGCGGACCTGCTGGATGCCTCGCTGACCATTCGTGAGCTGAGCCCTGGGGATGAGGCCAACTACACCTGCGAGATCCACATCAGCCCATCCCAAATGGGGAGCGCAAGCACCTGGCTCCGGGTGTTCTGTGAGTGTGAGGGGAGGGGTCAGCGGGTAGGGAGGGATGGGGCTAGCAGGAAGGGAGGGGCGGGAAGACTCAGAGAGGGAGTGGTCAGGGAGAGACCCAAGGAGGTAAAGCATCAATGGTGGGGCCGGGGGTGCATGTGGGGCCGGTGTTGTGGATCAGGAGAGAGGGCATGGCCTGGTTCTTGCTGAGGACCTTGGTGACTTTTCCGGGGGCGTAGGGAGAAGCTGCTTGTTTATTTGGTTTTTGCCTGGGCCAGGGTTAGTTAGTTATTCGGAGCCTGTTTGGGGACCTGGATTAGCTCCCAGACTCCCCACAGTTTATCCAGGACAAAGGCTGAGAGCTGAGATGGATTGCCCGGTTCCTGCCTCCAACACAGGGACAATAGCGCTGCCATGACCCCACCACCAACACCAGCACACCCACCCTCATTGAGTCCTTCCTGACCCTCCCTTCCCCCTGGGCCACTACTGCTACCATCCTTAGCTGCCTCCTCCAACTTCTTTTTTATTATTTTTTTTTATTGAATCACCATGAGATATAGTTACAAAGCTTTCATGTTTGAGTTTCAGTCACACAATGATCGAAAACCCATTCCTCCACCGGTGCACATTTTTTACCACCAATGTCCCCAGTATCTCCCCTCCCCCACCCCTCCCCCTGCCTCTATGGCAGATAGTTTCCCCCAAACTCTCTCTCTACTTTTGAGCATTATGGTTTGCTCAAATTTTTCCACCACCATTCAAGCCTGCCTGCCAGGGGCAGAAGCTAGATAATTTGTTTTCTATTGCTTATTATGAATATTGCTGGAGCGATAGCACAGCGGGTAGGGCGTTCGCCTTACAAGCGACCAACATGGCCGACCCGAGTTCGATTCCTCTGCCCCTCTCGGAGAGCCCGGCAAGCTACCGAGAGTATTCGATATGCCAGACACAGTAACAACAAAGTCTCCAATGGAGACGTTACTGGGCCCGCTCGAGCAAATCGACGATCAACGGGAGGGCCTTTACCTTTACCTTTACCTTATTATGAATATTGTGAGAGGTAGCATGGCTACTTTTGTGCTTCTGAAATTCTAAAATTGTAAATGATGGGTTCTAGAGACATCTCTGTAGGGAGCTAACTCATTTTGAGATTCATTTGGCAGTCTCTGGATAAAGGCTGTTGATGTGCTGAGATGGTGCCCGGAGGCAGATCATGGGCAAGACAGCCAGGACCCCAAGTGTGCGGAGAGACACGGAGGGACTACCCATCTCCACTGCCGCCTCGTGGCCTCTCCTCCAACATCACAGATATTCCTGCTCCCCCGTTGCCTCCCGGATTGCTGTCTACACTGACTCCCACACTGTCTACACCTGCCCCTTCAGCAGAGTCAACACACACTGCCTCAGCTGCTCTCTGCCCTGGGATGCCCACTCTGGCACCCTGCTGCCCCCATCTGCTCAGCTCCCAGCCCATTCCCGCGCCCGTTTCCAGCATCTCCACCAGCGCTTTCCAACCCCTGTCCACAGACTGGTGCCGATCCGTAGAAATTTCCTGCTGGACCACAGGAAAATTCATTAGGACTTGTCAGTAGCATTTGGTCTACTGCTTGGTTTCTGTTTATTTTTTTCTCAGAAAAAGCAAAAACAATTTTAATAAAGAAGTGTTGCCTTTCTAAACTCAAACACATTCAATGTTTTGTATAATACATCAAAAATATATCTTGTTCTTTACTTTCCTCCAGAAGATTATGGAGCTCAATCATTATTACAGGGTACACAAAATTAAGTATATCAACATGACATAACTACTCATACTGTTTATAGTGCAATATTTATGACACCACAAGGCACACAAGTTTATACATGTTAATATGGATTATTGTTCTGTTTTCTGACATTTATACCTGGTAGTGATGGTGAAATTCAACATTATATCATGTCTTTCTTTGAAAGCTTGACATTAAGAGTTAAGAAAATGAGTGATCTTATAGACACTGACATATGGAAAATACATTTTTGTGATTTAATACTATAAATTACATGTACCTTTTGAATTATATGTATATATTTACTAGAAAGATTGACAGATACTAAAGAGACTAAAGAAAACCTCTTAACCATCAAATCAAATATAATTCAACTACTTGCAGCAATCTTAATTTACCAATCAGACTACTGCTCTTAAATCCTTTGGTTGTCAGGTACCAAACTAATTTTAAAGTTAGGTAAATTCTTTTCTTCCTAATTATTATGGGTGGTCCAATTCCCCATAATATACACAGCTGAGAAATATCCCTTATGCATCTTTATTTAAGTGGCAGTCAATTAGGAACAAAAGTAATCCTCTCTTAAAAATGTTTTTAATGCAAATCATTCCAGAATGACTTCAGACTATGGACAGAGACTGCAGGAAAAGACTCTAGTTCTATATTTTGAATGATTCTTCTGTATATTGCCACTTCTGCATAAGATTAAAATCATGTGTATCACCTCATCAGGATTGTTCAATCTATGTTAATCCAGATAGCCCAACTCAATGAGTTTTGGGTATAGTGTTTCTAAAGTCCGTTACTAGCAATACTTTACAGAAATTTCATTCCAATAAATACATATAAAAGCATTTAGATTATATGCATGTTTACAAAAAGTGCTTCAAAGATGTCTGGTCAAATTGCCCGAAGATTTCAAAGCCCAAACATTTGTTGCAAATGTAATTTGGACAACTACTATAAAAGCAGGAAAAAGCAAGACCAAAAATATTCATCTCTTTTAAATGTTTTAACCCTATTCTTTGGGAGATAGGTAATAAAAGTACATTGCAGTTTGTGCTTGCTTTTACATACAAGTCATCTGGACCTTTTACTACAAGCAGTTCAGATCTTTTCATTATCATCACTGTTGATTTTTTAAATGCAACTGGGCTTTGTTGTTTTAAAGAAGTTTTGGACACATCTGTGTGCATGATTTACATAGCAATTGTCTCATAGTCATTATCCTGAGACCGCAAATCACAAAAGTTAAAGAAGAACTGCAGGTCTTTCTGGAAGTTTTTGTTTAGAAAGCCATAAAATATAGGGTTAGCACAGGTAGATATCATTGCTGTGAGGTGGCAGAGCAGGAACAAGAGAATATGGTTGCATGTGGCAATGATCTGATGATTCCAATTGAACACAGTGTTAAAGATGGTTAGGGACAACCAGCAGACAGCAAATGCTACAACAATAGACAGCAGCATAATGTTGATTCTTTTGGTTTCATTGGACCTATACCTTATTATCTCTCATCTTGTCCATCATGTTGTTTCTCCTTTTTAATCGGATGTATATCTTGAAGTAGTAAATAAATATAAAACAGAGTGGGCCGAAATACTGCAGCACCAAGAGGAGGGTGGTGTAAGACAACCTGAGAAAATAAAGTTGAATTCATTTTGATTAGTCAGACTGTTACAGATTACTTTAGACAAATGGGCAGTATGTGTCTTCAAAGCAGGTCAAATGTTCATTGTATTCTTATTTTCATATTGGAATTCATTTGTCAAAATTATTCTGAATTCTTTATTTCCTTGAACTGAACAATCCTCTTTTGCACTCCTTTAATAATGCGGGGAGTTGCGTTGGAATGGAACAATGGTGAGAGAGACAGTTTCTGTTTATTTTTAAGTTAAATAAATATAGAGTTTTTATTATGATAAGAGATTCAGAACAAACACACAAAACTTTGTTTTTTTATTTATTTTTATAAAGTTATTCACAGTAGTTCATTACAAATAATGTTCAAACACCAATCCCACCACCATGCACCTTCCCAACACCATAAGAGGAAAATGTGTGTAGATTGTTGTATTTTATCCTGGAGCCATTTAAGGCCTTGGATAAAATGTTAAGTGCAAGTATGTTAAAACCCAAACAAATGTGTGCTACTTTTGATACATCCGTGGACTAGAGTATAAGAGGTCCCGTGGCTGCAAGATGGCTCCAGGATGTTCTGCATTGCTCTCTTCCATTCTGTGTTGTTTTCTTTCAGAAACTTGATTTCATAGTCTCTGGATCTTGGCCACTGATAAGATTATATGGTGTCCAGGGGCAGTTTGTGGGTGTGACTGCCAAGCTACTGGAGACCTGAGGAGGAGGTGGCCCATCCTGTTTCGAGCAGGCTTGGAGATCTCAGTCATGGGCCCCGCATACCTGGACTTTTCTGCAGGTTCCCTCATAGGTGAGGCTCACCCGAGTTTGTGGAGAGTGGCCTTGATCATGGCCTTGAGCATGGCTGCAGTTGGGTTCTGGAGGTTTTTGGCTGCCAGGGTGCTGCTTGGGGTGGGAAGGGAGACTCAACCCTTCCACACAAAATATTTTATAATTTTTTTTAAAGTTCTTTTTTAGCGGTTGGCAAAATATTTCTATTTTCACTGGTCTGTAGGTACAAAAGAGTTAAAAACCACTTCTCCACACTGGCCCCTGGACCACACAGTACTATCCACTGTGTACAGTGGTCTTAGTCGAAGTTAGTGGAGTTCTCACTGTTCCCTGTATCATCTACACTCGCTGCTGAGACCCTGACTCCATGCACACCCTTCATATTCTGCCCTGTCTACACTGCCCTGTCTACACAGGGGAAGGGTCTACACTGTCCTTCTCTTTACAGATCTCACTGCTGTCTACCTGATACCATCTACATCGCCTCCTCATGGGCTGCCTACCTGCCCCACAGCCTCCCTGCTGCCCATGACTGTCTACACAGCCCCCAACACCACTACCTGCTTCTCCCCACACAGCCTCATTTCCACTAGCACCCCCAGATCAGGACCTCAAATACAGCCAGATGTGAGTCACAGTAGGACCCCATCCTGAGTGTCCCCCATGGAGTGTGCATCAGGCAGTGTCTGACACAAGCCCAGGGATCACCTGGACCCCAGATCCTCTGTTCAGGGGTGCTCATGTTCCTACTCCTACCCCAATACTGCCTATGGGAGCTTTAGAGATGGTTCCAGCCTCCCCTAGTTGAGAATAAAGACAGTGAAAGCATCATAGGAGGATGACTCGAGTTTCCAGCATTAATCATCCTTACCCCTCCGAGGATATTAGGTCATGAGCCACAGACCTTCTTGCTCTCATCTGTGCTGTCACTAATTCTGCATCTCTGTGTTCTCTGGAACCACAGTGTGCCAAGGGTTTGTGGACAGCGTGAGTGGGAGGAGGCAACAGTGTGGACTGTGAGGATCCAGACTCATCTCATGTTCTTTACTGATCCAGCCTACTGTCATCTACACCCCTCACAGCCTGTCTTTCCTGACTTCCTGTACATGCTCTGCTGCATTTGCAGCTGTCATACTGACACCTCGGGTCCACAGAACTGGCAAGAGAGCTGGCCAGGGCAGTCCACCCAACTCCATCCGTTGCGTGCCAGACAGGGAAGGACGACAGCCTTAGAGGGAGGATGAGGACAACAAACCATATAAACCAACAAGACAAAGACAAGACATGGCTCCAGGAAACTCTGCAGGGAGAAGACTCACTCTATTGCAATCAGGCTTAGGTTTATGTACTTTAAGAGAAAAGGGAGAACAATGGATGGAACCTTTCAGGGGGAATTTCCTGCACAAGCCCACAAACAGTAGAACAGGGTGTTCTGCTTCCTCACTCTGGTCGTAGCCTGAAGTTCCTGTTGAGCAAATCTCAGAACGCAGGGGGCCAGCAACAGTATGACGGCCAGCACAATCAAGGGACGGTGAAAGACATAACCCAGGTGGCCAGATGCCCTTGAAGCCAGGGAAGGAGGAGTGGAACAAGTACCAGGAATGGAAATCCTCACTAAACTCGGTCAGATTGTTGATGTTCTGCTCAACCACCCAGGTTCATTAATAAACAGCATTGTTCTCACAGGAACAGACAGATTCCCCCCCTTGTCTGCTGTTAAGTCCAGAGCCCTCCGGTTTTGGAGAGTCACAGCAGCAAGGGAGGCAATCTGGCACTGGCATGCTTCAAACTCTTGGTGGTGAAATCAGTGGCCTGCTGCAGTTGCCTGGCAAAGTCCTCTGCAGTCAGAGTCCATGGGTGACAGCACCACCATGGAGAGACCTAGGGTGGTGGTCAGACTTTGTGTTGTCTCTCAGGGTCTGACAAACCATCTTGGTGGTCAGCAGGAAGGAGCTGGACATATCTACCTGAATCCCTATGAGCTTTGGACTATCCTATGGGAAAATTCAAGCAAAACCTCTCCCTGTCATAAACAAAGGGTCTCCCCACATACCATAATGGGAGGGACTGATGCTACAGGATGCCAGTGAATAACAATGGGAGGTGCATCCAAAATATTGAAATATCAAAAAGATTAAGGATGGAAAGGGCTAAGGACAGCCTGATGTTAGGGAGTGTACTCCCCCTTTTTGTTTATATCAAATAGTCTTTCAAAGTGTGATAGGCGTGTTTCACCAAGGTTTGTCCCTGGGGATTTTATGAGATGCCAATGGTGTGCTGTATTTTTCATTAAGCACAGAAATTTCTTTCATCTTTTTAAAAAAATTTTATTTTCATAGAATTGTTCACAGTAATTGGTTACATTCAATAGTTCAACACCAATCCCACCACCATTACATCTTCCCACCCACCATTATTTTGAATTTTCCCACCACCACCCAAGCCTGCCCCAAAGGCAGATGCTAATTTAGTTTGTATTGCTTATTGTTGAATAATTGACCAAAAATGATCCAAAAAGGTTTCCTTAGAGAAAGGTGTATGAAAATTGTACCTTGTCTTGGAGCCATTAAGCCCCTGTATTAGAAATTTTGAACTTTATATCTATTTTGATCAAGATTGGTTGTCTTCTACCTTACACCCCATCAAATGTGGTGCGTTACTCTTGGTATAATGTATGATATGTTACACGACCAGAAAAGTGGCCTTCCACTCCTCCTGGAATTCTAAAATTTTACATAGGGTACTAGAAATGGAGTTAAAATTTTTAACTGGATGGTGATTTTATGGTCTGGAGGCATCTTTGCAGCATGTTACTCTCTTCTGAGATTCATTTGTGAGTCTCTGGATCATGACCATTAATGACCTTAAATGGTGCCCAGAGGCAGTTTGTGGGGGTGACCACTAGGAAACCGGAAGCCGAGGAAGATGGAAGAAGGGGCCCATTCCTGACTCCGGAGCCTGGAGATTTCAGTCACAAGTCCCACATACCTAGGTTTTTCAGCAGATTTAATCTCATGCATGGGGGACTCTGGGCAAGGCTGTGAAGGTTGGCTTTGAGCATGGTGGTGATTGTGTTCTGTAGGTTTGTGGCTGCCAGTGTTCTTTTGGAACAGACAGAGAACATACCTGCCCCCCTCTGAGGTGCCTGAATGAAATCAGCCTGGTGTAGGGTGGAAAGACTTCTCTGCAGCACGTTGCTTTCTTCCACGATTCATTGAGTCTGATCACAGAAATTTCTGAAGGCAGAACAATAAAGGCAGGTCCATTATCAGTTTTTAGGCTGAGGAGGAGATCCATAATAGCCATACAGGCTAGCATATGGTGAATCAAATGACGTGCCCTTTTACCAGCCTCGGCTGTAGTCCATATAAATTTGATGTGTCAATAGTAATGAAAACATACTGTTGGTGGCCAATTCTAGTATATGGGAGACATCAACTTGCCAGAGTGCATTAGGTTGGAGACCATTCTGGGAGTCACTCCCGGGCCTTGCAGTCCTGGAGTAATCATCAAGTCCTGACAAGAGAAGCAAGTATGCAAAATGCGATGAAGATGGGCAATAAGGCATCAGGGAAATGGGCCTGAAGGCCATTAGGATTAACATGAGTCAGGTGATGAAATTCTTGTGCTGTATCCAGCAGGGCAACAAGAGCTCCGATGGAGGCGATGACATTACCCTTGGACAGGGGTCCCAGAGTGGGAGTTTGGGGGACTGTGGGCCCTGATCTATTGAACATAAATGGGGAAGTCATGACCCTCAAGAGATGAGGCCACTTCAATAAAAAGAGGGGAAAGAAGATTCTCATCTAAACATACATGGGGCGACCAGCATTGTGAAAAAATTGAGAAACTTTCCATCCTGTGCTTGGGCCTTTCAGGAGAGAAAAGCCACTCATTCTCATAAAGAGTCATAAAAAAAATAAACAGCTGTGACCCATGGGGTGACAGTGATATCAGTGTCCCAAAAAGTCTCAACTTGGGGCTGGGAAAGGTGGAAACTGCAGGTGGTAAGAAAGCCCCTGGAACAGGTGGGGCTTTAAGAGAGGTCTTTAAGAGAGGAAGAAGACCCACCCATAGTGACTACACAAAAGAGTATCATAAGACAAATTCTTAAAAGAGGAGAAAGGGAAACTCTCAAACACTCGTCCAGTCATTCCCCTCACAGAATCTTAAGGAGACCTTGGCTTTGGAGCACAGGCATAAGCCCCCTCCTGGTTGACCCTCCCAGGTAGGCCAAATCTCCTTCAGTCTTTACAGTCTGATGAAATCATGGATTAGAACCCACTCTAAGTCCATAACTTTTTGCTGTGGGCCCACCACGCACACTCACAATCACACTCCAGTCAGGAGAAAGGCCAATAACAGGTGGCATCTCAGAAAGCCTGGGGCCAAGGGGAATCGTCCAACAACACAGGGTGATTCCGGTATCCCACTGCCAGGACTACTCACCTGATCACTCTGCTGGCCTTCGTAGGTCTTCCTGGGCCCCATGTTGGGTGCTAGGTGTTGTTCTGACACGTTGGGTGCATGGAACCGACAAGATAGCTAGCCATGACAGTTCACCCAACCCCATCCATTTTGTACCAGACAGGGAAGCAGAACAGCCCTAGAGGGAGGATGAGGACACAGAGCCATTTGGAAAGACAAGACAGACAAAGACAAGACACGGCTCTGGGAGCCTCTGCAGAGAGAAGACTCACTCTACTGCAATCAGGCTTAGGTTTATGTACCTTAAGAGAAAAGGGAGAACAATGGATGAATACTTTTCAGGGGAGATTTCCCGCACAAGCCCACAATTAGTCAAAAAGAGTGTTCTGGGTCAGTCTCCCCTGCTGGCTGGCAATTAGCTTGTTCGTGGTCCCTGATGTTTTGTTTTAGGAATAGTGATCGGACATTGCATCTGGCTGTCTGAGGAAGGAGGGAGGAGTCGCTGCTGAGAGATCAAGGGGGCCCTCCCAGGGGAGGGGCCCCTACAGCTCATCTGCTTTGGCCAAGGCTCAGGAGCTCACCCTGACCCCATCTGCTCCCCCATTCATCTCCTGCAGCACCCCACATGCAGGCACTAGCAGAAGGGAACAGAGCAGACATTCTCAAGCATGTGATGCTGCAGAACAGGGTCTGGATCCCGAGAACATGAGTGCATTTGGCATCTGTCCCCAGGTCACTAAAGTGACAGAATGAGACTCTGACCCTTTCCAGAACATCCAAATGACTCAAGGTCATGTCATGTCACCCAGACTCAGCTGCCCCTTATAGTGCCTTGTGAAATGTGGGAGAGGTTCTTCTCTTCAAGTGTGAGTCCCTCAGGGCTCCTGTCCCTGAGCCTGTCCCTGTCCCATCTCCAGATGCCCCCCAGGTTTCCATCGCCCTCTATGATGACACTGGGCAGCAGGGCCAAAGGGAGATCAGCCTGACCTGTGACGCCCGCAGCAATCCAGAGCCCAAGAGCTACAACTGGAGCACGTGAGTTCTGGGTTGATCAGGGTCTGAGTGGGGAGACTGGGGATGGACAATCAGGTCTGAGGGGATAGGCTAGGGATGAACTCCTAAATATTGGGGGACAGGGCCTGGGTGCCCAAACTCCAAAATGAAGAGGAGGAGGGCCTGACCTGGACTCCTGTACCTGAGGAAAAGGTGCTGGGAGCCAGGGTCTAGTGAGGAGTCTGGGATGCATTCCTGGGTCTGAGGGAGAAAGCTGGGCATGGAGTCCTGGTCTGAGGGAGGAGGTGGGTATGCACTTCTAGATCTGAGGGAGAAGGGGCTAGGTATGACTGCTGGTTCCTAGAGAGAAGGCTGGGGCTGGAACCCTGGGTCTAAGGAAGGAGATAAATGATGGATCCAAGGATCTAAGGAAGGAAGGATTGCAGGACAGATTAATTAGGGAGAGGGAAGAAGGACTAAGGCATGAACTCCTTGGTCTGTTTTGGGTTTTTTATTTGTTTCGGGGGCCCAAATGCAGCAGTGCTAGGGCTTATTCATAGCTGTTCAATCTGGGATCACTCCTGGTGGGCCTCTGTGGATTGTATGGGGTCTTGGGGGTCGAATCTGGGTTAGTCACATTAAGGCAAGTACCTTACCTGCTATCTCTCCGGCCCTGGACTCCTGGATTTGTGAGAGGAGGCTGGAAATAAACTACTGGGTCTGGGGATAACCCCTGTTCTGCAAGGAAGGAAAAGCAGAGGGATCCAGAGAGAGAGACACACACAGAGACAGAGACAGAGACAGAGACACAAAGAGAGGGAGAGAGTGTCACTACTGACACTGATTAAATTGTCTTACCTGTGGGCAGGGAAATTGGCTTAGTGGGGGACAGGGACCCAGATATGTGAGACCTGGGACTCAGCCAGCACCCACACCCACGTTATATTTTTATATAATAAAGGTGCCATGAACACACAGTTTCTGGGGTCTTCAACCCAGGCAGCAGGTACCCCAGCTCTTCCCAGTTTTGCTCCTTGACCTGTCCTCACCCTTCTTCCCCATCCCCACACTCCCCACTCAGCACTGGGCCATGTGGGTTCAAAGATCACCAGCACCCAGTAGGGGCATCATTAGCTGGGGTACCCCCAGGGATCTGGAGACCAGAGCAAAGGAGGCAGTAACTGACCCGGGATCTAAGGGATCAGGGGAGCTCTGGGGACCCTTCAAAGGGCTGGGCTTTCCTCTGCCTGAGGCAGGAGATTTCTGGGTTGCTTAGCAGAGAAGGGCCTGAAGCTCTGTTCCAGCAAGTTCTAATCAGGCCAGCAGGTGTGTGTGTGTGTGTGTGTGTGTTGTGTGTGTGTGTGGGGGGGGGGGGGGAGGTGAAGAAGCCAAGGGATAGGGGTGGGAGTGGAGGCCAGACAGGCCATGAGGACCAGAAGGTTCTAGATGAATTCTGAAGGAGGGTCTCAGGACCTGCTGAGCAGTTATGGGGGGATGAGAGGGAGAGTTGGGAGGTCACAACTTGGGTCACACAGAGGGAGGAGCTGGGGTTCCTCAGTCCCTGTCACTGGGCTCCAGAAGAGGCCTTGTTCTCACCCACCTGTGCCCCCAGGACCACGGGCCCCCTGCCCCCCTCTGCTGCACCCCAGGGCTCCCAGCTCCTGATCCAGCCCACTGAGGAGTCCATCAACACAACCTTCATTTGTCACGTCTCCAATGACCTAGGGACGGGCCAGGCAGCCATGAGAGTCCTGATCCCAGGTGAGGACCAGTGGAGAACACGAAGACACTCAGGAGGTGTCAAGCAGGGTTGTCTCTGAGGAGGGATGGGAGGGTCCCTGGAGAAGGACCTCCTCAGCCATGAGATGCTCCTTGAAGTCCTGCAGAGGCCTCTGCCGGGACACTCAGAAAGGCCGTTCCAGGGGCTGGGGCCGAGCTCTCGCCATTGCAGCTGCTGAAAATGCCACAGTTGGGTGAGAAAATGGGCCAGTCAGGTTTGATTTAATCTGGGAGCCTCAAGTGTGGGTGTAAAGCAGGAACTTTCCTGATTTTGTCTGCACTGCTCTCAGTGTTGGCTCTATTCTCAGCCAACTCTGCCCTCAGTCATCAGGGGCCCATGGGCATTCCAGGTGCCCATCCCACCGTTTAGTGGGGCTGGGGAGAACACAACACCTTTTCCTATTTTGTTTTTCTTTTTTTTGGGGGGGGGTAGTGTCAAACCCAGGGTTGCTCATGGTTTATTCCTGGCTCTATACTCTATGCCCTGATAGTACTCTGGGGACCGTATGTGGCGCCAGAGATGGAACCCAGGTAGTCTGTGTGCAGGGACAGCACCCTCTCTGCTGTCCTGTCTCCCTGCACCCTGAATTCAACACTGACAGTGACTCTGGCCCATTCCAATAGCCACACAGAGGGGAGCGCTCTGATTGGTCAGTCCTGGGTCCTGCCTCCTGGACCACAGAGCTCTATGGAGGGACAGTGAGGGCTGCCCATAGGAGTGAGGGACGATGTGTGCGGATAGAGGGACCCCAAAGTCTCCCATCCTAACCCCCTGCCCCCTCCTCTTCCCCAGGATCTCCCCGGGAACCATCACCCTCATACTCAGCTCTCCAGATCGGCCTCTGTGTTTCAGGAATCGTGTTGGTGGCTGTGCTGGGAGCCATGGTTTATTCCCGGTATCGGAGACAGTCCCGTGAGTGTCTCTGGAACATTCCCCAACCGTTTGTCGGCCCTGAGCTTCCCGAGCCCCAATCCCTGAGCCTGACCCCGCACGAGGCTCTGTGCTTGTTCCCCCAGGCAGCCTGTCCGCATGTCCCCACAGCCGGGCAGCCCTGACCCTACAGACATGGACACTGAAGCAGGGGTTGGTCTCCCACCCCAAGGGAGTGAGGGCTCCGATTCCAGGCCCCGTCAACACTGGGCAGCCTCCAGGGGCACAGGGGCACAGAGGGCAGCATGGCACCCTCCAGCTGTCCCTCATGCCCCTTGGTAGGAGAGACCCCCTAATGCTCTTACAGAAAAGAGGGGGCAGCAGGAACTGGAACCCTGGTCCCTCAGCAGGGCCTGAGGTGGAAGAACTTGCTGGGACAAGTGAATTAACAGACCATGATGGGTTCAGCCAGTATTGATTGATAATTTATTATAGGGCTGGGAAACCAGAGCCATAGTACAGCAAATAGGGCTCCTGCCTTGCACAAAGCCAATCCAGATTTGATCTCAGCACCCTATTTGGTTCCTCAACTTTACCAGAAGTGATTGTTGAGTGCAGAGCCAGTAGTGGGCCCTGAGCTTTACTGGTTGTGGTCTAAAACCCAATACTACTACTTCTATTGAGAATAATAGGCCAGGGATAGTGTTTGACTTCTGTGATTTATTGATTTATATTTAACAGACCAGATGGGGTTTTGTAGTATTAGTTCATTGATTGATAGTTAATAAGAGGCCGGGATGGGGTTCAGTGGTGGAACATGTGACTTGCATATGTGAGATGCTGGGTTTGATTTCTGACACTGCAAAGAATTAAGCTGAAAGGAAAGAATCGAGTGAATCCCGAGGAGTAAACGGATGAAGACTCTCTCCAGCCCTATTTTAGAACTGTGAGGCCCTGAGGGAAGGGGAGCCCTGTGTACCTGGAGCCACAGGCCCCGCACCCCGGGGTCTGCCCATGACATCCCGCGGGTTCCTAACGCATCTGCTCTCTGTCTGCAGGCCAGGACTCCCACAGCGGCCCTGATCACAGGGTAAGTGTGGGCAGGTGCTGAGGTGGGTGAAGTGCCCACAGAGCACTGCCCAATCGCTCTCCCAGGAGAACCCCTGTGATGCCCCCAAATCTCTCACGCTGACTCACAGGCCGAGTCTAGTTTGCTGGGTCAGTGCTACTGCTAAGTTTCTATTTCTGCCACTCCTGGCTCTGGGCTCGGGGTCGTGCAGGGCAGGGCTGGAGAATCATATGTTTCTTGGGATGAAACCCAAGATTCCCCACGGGCAACTCCCTGTGCTGTTCCTCAAACGTGAGGCTTGCATTTTAATGGGCATCCTTTGTTGTCCCCTCAAGCTGCATCTGGGTAAACTATAGGGCCCTCGGGGAGAATGACCCACAGGCCTGACCTCTGGGCCATGGGGCTGTTGAAAGAGTCTGTGTTTTTTTCTGAAAGGACCTTGCAGGTCAGGTTTGAATCTTCCCTTTCCAGGCTGTCTCCTATGAAACTGTGCAGAGAGAAGCCAGCGCTTCCCAGGACCCACTGACAGAGGACACAGATGGACTAACCTAGAGATGCTGGAGCTGGGACAGGTGAGGTCAGGGCTGGATGCCGACCTTAAGACAAGGCTCTCCCTGTATGCTGATCCTCTCCCCACCCCCCTGCTTTTTGAATAGCAGCATAGAAGCTGTCCAGAATCACAGAAGCTATTTGCATAGTGATGTAACTCTCTTTACTTAGTGCCACAGCAGGTGCCCAGACGCAGATATCCTAGTTACTTAGTGTCACGGATCAGTTACTGTTCATGGAAAGGGCCCTGGTGGATCAGTAAGGGATACTTCAGGGGACTGTTTAAAGGCAAAAATGAAGATGAGAACCAGATGGTGGAGCTTTGTGCCTATTAAACTAGGTCGCTGTCCCTGCTGAACCCCATGGTGATAAGCTTTCCCTGCTGCCCCTAGACACCAGTAGGAACTGAGACTGTCCTGGCGCCACATCTGGTCCCCTTCTTTCCTCCTACCTCCTTTGCTCCTGTAGAAGGACCCTAGTGTCAGCCATCAGGGCCCCCATGGATGTGCAAGAGAAGCTCCCAACCCGAGACCCTGAATTCATCATCCTGCAAAGGCCTTTGTCCATGTCAGGGACATTTGTAAGATAACATTGGTTTGTCCTTTCTCCCTTGCTGCAGGGAGCTTGGGTTTATTGGGGGGCTGGAGCGATAGCACAGCGGTAGGGCGTTTGCCTTGCACGCAGCCAACATGGCTGACCCGAGTTTGATTCCTCCACCCCCTCGGAGAGCCTGGCAAGCTCCCCGTGACGTATTCGATATGCCAAACACAGTAACAACAAAGTCTCCAATGGAGACGTTACTGGGCCCGCTCGAGCAAATCGATGATCAACGGGAGGGCCTTTACTTTACTTTACTTTATCTGTCACACTATAAAACCCAGCTCCTGGAGGAGAACAGCGCAGAGTCTCCTGCCTCTGTGCCTGGCTGTCCTCACCGGGGCCCCTTGGAGGGGGGAGGGTTGAGTATCTCTCCCCTCCCCCCACCCCGAGCAGAGCCCCAGCAGCTGAGGACCTCCAGAACCAGCCACGGCCATGCTGGGACCACTCTCCACATGTCTGGACGGGCCTCATGCATGAAAGAACTGGCAGAGGAACCCAGGCATGCGGGTCCCGGAGCTGAGGTCTCCAAGCCTACACGGATTGGGACTGGGCCTTCTCCACCTAGACCCTCCATTTTCCAGTAGGTAGGCGTCACACCCACCAGCTGCCACCAGCGCCAGGTTGGTCTCATCAACGGCCAAGATGCAGAGACTATAAAACCCAGCTCCTGGACGACATCTTATTATCTTATCTTTCCTTTGGAGAACCTGGCAGGCTACCAAAAGTACCCTGCCTGTTGGAGTACAAGGAGCTTAGGTTTATCAGGTTGCACCCCTCACAGTGCCCCCAAGTCACTCCCATTACTTTGTTTATCTGTAACCACTTCTGTGCTCTCTTCCCCAACCAATTTGTAAGGTCTCATCCTTCTAGGACACTGTACTTGTACTGTAAGTTAATATTGCCTTTCTCCTCTCCTTGTGTCCCTTGACTAGTTTATGCCATGCCCTTTTTGTATGGATACAGGAAGACAATTAATATTATGTTTTGTAACTTAGGAGTTGATTGGCCTTGAATATTATTCACTCCTGGGCATCTGCTTTCTCAAGTTAAGCCTCAGTTGCCCTCACTTCCTAACACCTCAAAAGCAGGGTCCCGACGTAGGACTGGATGGAACCAGAGCAAGCCGGTAAGTTATGTGCTACCCTGGCATCGCAATGGGACAGGCCAAGGTGCCACGATTCTTAATTATAGATTAAGAGTTTGATCATAGGCAAATGCTGTCATGATCCAAAAGTAACGACGAGACTAGGACCCTGCTGCTAATAGGAAAGGTGTCTGGCCTGAGCACTGCAGTCTGAGATCGAGATGGCCCTAGGGGAGCAATTCTATAAGCTTAAGGTATTTCTTATTGTATCCATACAAAATGACTTATATTATATATGCTTATATGTTGATCAGACAAGGATAAGAGGGAATACATCCAGGGAATTCTGTTCTAGTGTGAGTTGATCTGCTATATGAGAATCTGTCCTAGAAGCAGCCTTCCCATGTGTCCTGACTAGCTTGGATGAGACTGAACATTTCTCCCCTTCATCTGCCTTCAGTGAGCAAGAGGCAGCTTCCCTTATCTCACAGAGACCCTACTGTGGAGAGGCAGCCTCTCTTATCTCACAGAAACCTTACTGTAAGAGGCAGGCTAGTCATTGAGATATAGATTCCAAACTCTAGCAGGCTGGTCTCTGATATGCTATCCAAGTGCTTGCAGCTTGTGTAAGGTGAGGCCACGATTACTGGCCTGCAGATGTATAGAAACAATGTATGTTCTGCCATCTCATTGTTCTTTCTGTAACTCTTTTTGATGACATCATTGTATTGAGCCCTTTAGAGGTACCATGATCTATATAAGGGAGATTTCAGGGCTCTCAGGAGAACACGTGCAGGGGACACGTGCGGATACGTGCCATAGAGAACCTGGGAACACGTGCCTGAGAGAACCAGAGAGCACGTACTTGAGAGATCCTAGGGCCTCTATGGCATACACTTCTTCCTTGTAATAAACTGCTGCTAGATCAACCAGCCTGGCCTTCATTTCCTTCCTTTGCCGGACCATCGCCATCGACCTCCCTGAAGTGGGGAAACGGCCTGAGACGACCTAACGCAGGCGGTGGGAGAGATAGGCCACTGCTATTCCCCTTGCCCATCCTTCTGTGTGTGATTACACACCTGCCCGCACGGCAGAGTCTGGCAAACTTCCCGTGTCGTATTCAATATGCCAAATACCAGTAACAATGATGGGTTTCATTCTCCTAATCCTGAAAGAGCATTGAAATGGCTCTTTTTAAAATCTCAGGGGTAGGAAGAAGGTGACGTTACTGGTGCCTGCTGGAGGAAATCGACGAACAACAGAATGATCGTGATCATGATCGTGATCTGTCACAGTGCTCCTGAGGCACTACCAGGATGGAGGGTCTAGGTGGAGAAGGCCCAGTCCTCTGTGTTTATCGTTAGCCTCTTCTCTGTGCTCTGCTTCCCCTATTGGTTAGTCACTTATATCCCCAAATCAGACCCTCTGATGTGTAAGGTCAGACTCTGGATATTGTATTTGTAAATGAAATATTGCTTTTTCTCTTTCCCTTTTGTCCTTTGAAGTTTACTTTAGAGCAATGTCCTTTTTGTATAGTAAGTAAGTAAAGTAAAGGCCCTCCCGTTGATCATCGATTTTGCTCGAGCGGGCCCAGTAACGTCTCCATTGGAGACTTTGTTGTTACTGTGTCTGGCATATCGAATACTCTCGGTAGCTTGCCGGGCTCTCCAAGAGGGGCGGAGGAATCGAACTCGGGTCGGCCATGTTGGCCGCTTGTAAGGCGAACGCTCTACCCGCTGTGCTATCGCTCCAGCCTCGTCCTTATTGTATAGACACAGGAAAACAGCTAATACTATGCTTTTGTAACTTGGGAGTTAATTGACTCTGAATAACATTTACTTCTGGGCATCTCTCATATTTACTTGACTTAAGCCTCAGTTGCCCTTAGTTCCTAGCACCCCTAAAGCTGGGTCTCAGCGAATGGACCCAGGACAAGCTGTAAGCTACCCTTGCATTAAAATGAGACAGGTCAAGTGCCATAAAACTTAATAATAAGTTAAGAGCATGGTCGTGGATGAATTCTATCATGATCCTAAGAGAAGTGACTGGACAAGGACACTGCTAGTGTTAGGAAGGACTAATCTGGCCTGAGTATCGTAGTCTGAGATTTATAGTGAGATGCTCCCAGGAGATCTACTCTATAAGGTTTATATATCTCTTACTGCATCCATACAAAATGACTAGAAATATTATTAAGAAGTCAATTTAAAATGACTGTTTAAATGGATGTGGACTAAGGAGAGGAGAAATACACCCGTAAGATGGTATTCTGTCCTTGAGCAATTCTCCTTGCTGGATAAGAATTTTGTCTTAGAAGAAGCTTCTCCTGACTTCATGTCTCTTGATTGTACAATATTTATGTATGCTTGTTACTCTCAACCCTTCATGATTTCTCTATACCTAGCTTTGTGAGACTGGAATGAAGGGCAGTGTGAGACTGACATAGGTATGCAGGGAGACTGGAATAAAGGGCTGGAGGGAGATTGGAATAAAATGGCAACTGATCACCAACCAACCTGGTGACCCCAATTTCCTCCTTTGTCTATTGCCAACAGCCGGCCAGGGTGGGGGAGGTAACTCTTGACCAGTGAACACATGCATCGTGCACCCACAGTTTTTGAACTCAAAGATGGATGGATGGGAGGCTGGCTGGGTGAAGAGATAGGTAGCTATGAGTAGATGGATGAATGGATGGATGCTGGTTGGTTAGAGGGACAACGGATAGACGAAATGACAGCTGGATCAATGATAGCTGTATAGAAGATACATGAAAAATAGGAGCTGGGGCATCAGGGCTTCTTGAGGCGGGAGCTACCACACCTAGGGGTGCAGGGATGATCCAGGGGAATACTTGCAGTCTTGAGTAAAGCAGGGGAGGAAGCAACTTTGTATTTCTTTATTTAATGAATGTTGTTTCCAGGATCTGAGACAGTACAGCAAGTCAGGTACTTTCTTAGCAAGCAGTTGACCAGGGTTCAATCACCAGAACAGCATAGGCTCCTCGAGGCCCATCAAGAGTGACCTGACCCCTGAGCACAGCTGGGTGTGGCCCGAACACCAAAAAGAAAGGTAGATTTTAGGAGGACACTGGAAAAATTATTTCTTTTCTGAAAATCCAGGAGTGACCCCTTAGCAGTGTAGGACTAGACCCAAACCATTCTCCTCCTACCACCAACGACCACCAAATGAAGAACTCAGGGCTAGAGTAAGAGAGAAGGAGAAAGAAGGTTCCCAGTGGCTGGAAGGAGTGGGGCTCCCAGCCAGTTGAGTCTCAGTGTCTGGGAATAAGGAAACTGCAGTGGGTCTCTCTCTCTCTCTCTCTCTCTCTCTCTCTCTCTCTCTCTCTCTCTCTCTCTCCCCCAAACAGGGCGCAAGTAGGTCAGCCCTGGGGACTACTGGGCCCCAGCCATGAAAGGATCCATGAGATCTGACACAGGAACCACTTTCATGGATCCAACAAGGAAAACCACTTTTGTCAGTTTGTCAGGACAGTTTGTCATGGCACCTCAGGAACCTGCACAAAACATGGCCAGACCCCAGACCCCGCAGGCTCCCAGGTCCCCAAGCTCAGGTATTTGGAAAAATACAGGGAGGGACCATGTTGGAGAGAGCCTGACACCATCAAAGAGCAAAAATATTTTGGTGGGAATTATGATATGTACTTTTGATTTTCTAGTTCATTTATACCATGTATTATAAAGAGATAATTTTGCTTGTCGGTGGAAAGTTTTCAATGATATCCACCATGTCTGCACTTGAGATCAACTTCCCTTTTCCAAGATAAGCAAACGCTCTTTTTAGGAACCTCCCTGTATTCATCTGATACGCTGCCATCATGTGCACGTGCCCCACATTGTTCAAGCATGACGCAAAGTACTAATGAGTCTACAGCATCGCCCTGTAAACACAGGCTCTGGAATCTCTGAGGTTTGTCTGAGGTGTCAGGGGCCTCACCTAGCCTGGACCCACTGTTCTGATCAACCTCCTTGTTCTCCTGTTTTATCTTGTGCTTGATGAAGTGACCAAACATTCTCACACATTTGGAGCCCCCAGCGAGATCCCCAAGACATTGATCTCCCTGGTTGGGTGAGTATATGGGGACACAGGTCTGTAGGGGAGTCGTCCTCCTGCAAATTCCAGGAGCCCCGAGGGAATCTGACTCCCCTGGCACCTCCAGAAGTAATTCTCAGCTGAGGTAATTCCAAGCTAAGTGCTCCTTTCCCTGAGGTGATTTCAGGGACCCCTGAGGTGATTAAAGGAGGTTATTGGACTTGGAAGAAAGGTTTGGATCCTGCCCTGAGTTGATTCTGGGGACAGTCTCTCAGGACCTACCTAGGATAAAGCCCACGAAGACACTGCCTGAGTTGGCTATATGGGTGCGATGACAGCCTGGACCAGAGTTTGGGGAGAGACCATGTCTATCTATCATGTGTCTGTGTGGGGCGGGGGGAGTCCTAGGAGTGTGGGAAGAGACTGTGTCTGTCTGTTGTGCGAGTCACTGTCTGAGAGTCCCAGGAATGTAGGAGGCATTGTGTCCATCTGTTGTGAGTCACTGTCTTGGGAAGTACCAGTTCTTATGTTTAGCCTCTCATTGACCTTCCTCTTTCAATACTGCAAATAAATTTCCAGCTTCCTCTATTGCAAGGGAAGTGACTGTTGTGTTCCCACTTGCTTCCTCCTTGGACTGTGGTCAAGCTGAGTCATTGACTCTGCCTCTCTCTTTCTCTCAGGCTCTGGATGGATGACCAGTTAGACACTCCTTGTCTGCTAAGAGAATGTTACTGACTCCTTCAGAACTACAAAAGCTAAAACGTTAATGTATTACTGTGTTGGGTTGCTATGGTTTTGGTTGTGTTAAGATTTCATGGGGGGCACTGTCATTAAAAATGTATCTAACATTTTAAGAATGAAAGTTCTATGTATAATTTGGTATAATTTGTATAATTTGGTATAATTTATAATTTTTATATTTGTATAATTTATAATCTGGCTATTATAATTTTGTACCTATCGGGTTGGTACCAAAGGAACCCTTTCCTGACCCCTCCCGCTGTCCTACCACCATCCTTAGGAGTCAGAGAATCTGATGGTGCAAATCAACCAATCAGAGATGAGTATGTATGCATGTATGTATGTGTGCACACATGACTGGCCTTTATAGTCATCATCCGTTTTTCTGTTTGTGCACTGGAGAGTCAGAGCAGGACGAAATCAGAAATAGAAGCCTTCAGACCAGCTGCATCGCTGGTCAGAGTGTGAGGCCATGTGTACTAATATTTAAAAATGTCTGGTCTTCGATGCTGGCGTGGATGTGGCGAGAAAGGGACACTCCTTCACTGTTGGTGGGAATGTCCACTGGTTCAGCCCTTCTGGAAAACAGTATGGACGATTCTCAAAAAATTAGAAATTGAGATCCCATTTGACCCAGCAATACCACTCCTGGGAATATATCCCAGAGAGGCAAAAATGTATAGTCGAAGTGACATCTGCACTTGTTTGTTCATTGCAGCACTCTTTACAATAGCCAGAAACTGGAAGAAACCTGAATGCCCAAGAACAGATGACTGGTTAAAGAAACTTTGGTACATCTACACAATGGAGTACTATGTAGCTCTTAGAAAAGATGAAGTCATGAACTTTACATATAAGTGGTACAATATGGAAAGTATCATGCTAAGCGAAATGAGTCAGAAAGAGAGGGATAGACATAGAAAGATTGCATTCATCTGGGGGATATAAAGTAACAAAGTATGAGATTAATACCCAAGAATAGCTGAGATCAGCACCAGGAGGATTACTCCATAACTTAGAGGCTAGCCGGGTATCCTAGAGGAAAGGGCAGTTCAGATAGAGAAGGGAGCACCAAATAAAGGATGTTTGGAGGATCCTCCCAGGAGGGGAGATGCATGTCGAAAGTAGACTATGGACTGAACATGTTTGCCACTCAATGCCTCTTTTGCAGACCACAACACCCAAAAGGAGAGAGAGAACACAGGGGATTGCCCTGCCACAGAGACGGGGGGATGGGGGGATGGGGGTGGTAGGGATATTATCCATGGTGGTGGAAAACGGGCACTGGTGGAGGGATGGGTATCTGATCGTTGTATAATTGAAACCAAAGCACAAAAAATTGTAAATCTACAACTTTAAAAAAAATAAAATAAAATAAAGGGAAAAAAAAATGTCTGGTCTTTTTGACAATTGTCCATGTGATCTTCATGGATTTATGAGCTGTGTAAAGGAGACACCAAGATGACATCACATGGATTGTTTTTAGAATTTTGTTTTGTTTTGTTTTTAGAATTTAAAAACGGAAGTCAGGAGATAATCTATGTGAGCTTCATGGATTTATGTCAACATGGTCCTGATTTTAACTAAGCATAAACTTATTTGCAATCATGAGTATGTTTGACAATGACATCACTTTGATTAAGCATGCACTTAAATAATGTTTTTATAATCATTTGTTTAAAGTTGTGAGGTTCTAAGATTGGACGTTCAAGAATTGTTGATAAGTTAAATTATTTCATGAGAATGAGCACACTATTAATAATCAGTATAAATGTAAACCATTTGGTTAGAGATCATACCATATGCTTATTCTAAATGATCTAAGAAACTTTTTGTGGAAGACTAAATTATGATGTACATGAGATAGCTGCTTTTCTCTCTCCTTTATGCCTTTTGTATGTTTTTATCTTAGTGCAAAGTCTTTTTTGCATGGACTACAGTGCTTTGCTTTTGTAGTGTGGGAGTTCATTGCCTCCTGAAAATACTAGTGTTCAGATGAGTCCTGATACAATCCTGGGCATCCATCATATTTACATGACTTAAGTTTATGTAGCCTTAATTCCTAGATCTGCCTTAATTCCTAAAACCCCAAAAGGTGGGTCCCACCCAGGGTCTCGGGCAAGCATTAAGCTACCCTGGCTTTGACACTGGAGGGCTTAAGGATCCACAAATGTATAATTAGTCAAGAGCAGGGTCATGGAATAGGCTCTGACCAAAAGAAGCAACTGAAAAGGATCCTGTGAGTTTGGGAAAAGCCCACCTGGCCTAAGGACTGTGGTCTGGGAAACGTGGCTAGATGTCCCCAGGAAAAACCACCAGCTCTAACCCTGAGTCCAGAGAGACTGTTACCAAAAAAGTATAGTAAAAAAGAATCTATATTTCTTATTGTGTTAGTGCAAAATACAGTGCCCATCAACGGCCAAGACCCAGAGACTATAAAACCCAGCTTCCGGAAGAGAACAGCACAGAGTCTTCTGCTCCTGCACCTGGCTGTCCTCACTGGGGCCCCTTGGAGGGGAGTGGGTTGAGTTTCCCTCCCTGCCCTGAGCAGAGCCCCAGCTGCCAAAAACCTTGGAAACCAGCCACAGTCATGCTTAAGACCACTGTCCACACGTTTGGCCACATTTGTGGCCGTGTGACCTCTTATTATCTAGTTCTTACTCTTGGAGAACCGGCAGTCTACCGTGAGTATCCTGCTCACAAGGCAGAGTTTGGAAAACTTCCCGTGGCATGTTAGATATGCCAAAACCCAGTAACAATCATGGGTCTTATTCCCCTGACCCTGAAAGAGCCTCGAATGTGGCACTTTCTAAAATTTCAGGGCTAGGACGAAGGAGAAGTTACTGGTGCCTGCTTGAGAAAATCAATGAACAACAGGATGACAGTGATACAGTGAGTGCAAAATGACTGTACATATTTATCAGAATTTAATTTGTTTTTATGATTGTTTAGTGGATTGCCAGTAGAAAGAGAAAGGAATGTGTCAGTGATTTGCTCTTGTGTATAAATCAGAGCTACAGGATGATTTAATGTTGTTTCCCAGTAGGTTGAGGTAAAGGGCTCCCAGTGGACTCACCACTCTGGAGCTGCTATTTCTGAGGACAAGCCAGAGTGAATCACAACACCAAACCTATAGTGTCCCCTCCACCTGAGGATGTCCAGATGCCAGAGAGGTTCCAGCGCTGCCCAGTCAAGTCCCGGAAGCTGTCCAGCCAGAAATGCACAAGCGTGAGGAATGAACCTTGGGCCACAGGCATCGCCTGGGGCCTCTCCATCTCTGCAGGCTACTGCCACTGTCTCAGGCTGGCACATGAGCCCTGATGCTGACATCGGACTGGTGGCCAGTGCCCCTGGGGATTGGTACTGGACAGGAAAGAATTATTAATGGCCTCATATTTTGGTTCCTAATTTCAATTGATGTTGACCGCATTAGCAAGGCCTTTAGTTCTCTTGCTGCTCAACTTTTTGGCTAGACCCCATGTCTTTTGTTAAATTGGTGCTTGTCCATATGCATTATCATCTTATTTTGCTGACCAAGATGTTGAGATATCAATGGTTTGATATCCACCTGGAAAGGGGGAAACGTTATAAAGTGTATCTTTGATTTTATAATTGATCCACAGCATTTAGTTTAAAGAGATGATTTTACTTGTTGGTGGAAAGACCATTTTCAAAGATCCCCACCCTGTCTGCACTTGGGATGAACTTCTGTTTCAAGATAAGAAAATGCTTATGTCAAGAAACTCCCTGTAGGGGGGCGGAGCAACAGTACAGCGGTTAGAGCATTTGCCTTGCACACAGCTGACCTGGGTTCAATCCTTGGTATACTATATGGTCCCCCAAACACCACCCAAAGTATTTCCTGGTGCAGAGCCAGGAGTAACCCCTGAGTATCACTGGGTGTGACCCCCCAAAAAAAATTAAAATAAGAAACTCCCTGTAGCCAGGCCGATAAGATGCCACCATGTGCATGCAACCCCGCATTGATTGAACATAAAAGAAAATAAGATTAGGTTTTAGTAATGTCCGATAAACACAGGCTCTGGGACCTCTGAGGTTTTTCTAGGTCTCGGGCTCATCTGCCTGGACCCACCAGTCTGATCAACCTCTTGTTCTCCTGCCATGGATTGTCTCAATGTGCTGGATTAAGCGAACACCTGTCATAACAACAACAACAACAACAACAACAAAACAATATTGTTCTCGAAATGGGCTGGATCAATAGCACAGTGGGTAGGGCGTTTGCCTTGCACACAGCCAACATGGCCGACGCGAGTTTGGTTCCTCCATCCCTCTCAGAGAGCCCAGAAAGCTACCTTGAGTATCTCTTCGCATGGCAAAGCCTGGCAAGCTACCCACGACGTATTCAATATGCCAAACACAGTAACAACAAAGTCTCACGATGGAGATGTTACTGGGCCCACTCGAGCAAATCGATGAACAATGGGAGGACAGTGACAGCGACAGTTCTCAAAATTTGTTCCCCCAAGTCCCCCACTTCTAATTGGGGACTTTGCTTCTTTCTCTTTTCGACGTAAGGAGGAACATTGACAGTAAAAATGAGGCTAAACAAAGAGGAAGTGTATGAATCCTTCTGGGGGAACACAAGAATCAGTGAGGAGGGGATCATATCCTGGCCTCCTCAGCTCTTTTCCCTGCTCAGTCCCTGGCACTCTGGAAGTGGCAACCCTCCCTCTATGCACACACACAAATACAAGATGGACTTTGAGTCCAGAACAACCACCTCCCAGTGAACCCCACAATGACAACCTTGCTGAGAGGCCATAAAGGGAGAACATTCTAGGCTCTCAGGCACATGTTATTCTCTCAGGCCCAGAAATGGCTCTACAGGAGGGTCCATGGTGGACAACATCAATGGTTACTAGTTCCAAGGAAAGTCTCCCATGTTACCACAGGGTCCCAAGGAACAGTGGGTTTGGATGAACCCCAGTGAGCACAGAGAATCATGTACAGTACCAGAACTGATTGTGGGAGCCGCCCTCACAGCTACAGCATCAGGGGCAGGAAGAAGGAAAAACAGTAACAATGAGAACTAAGGAGGGAAACCCAAACCTCATGAGATCTAAAGATTTCGTATGTGTGTGTGTGTTTGTGTGTGTATGTGTGAGAAAGAGAGAGACAGACAGATAGAGAGACAGACATCTCTGTGTGTCTATCTCTGTGTGTTTGCTGCCACCTGTTCAGGACTAAACCTATCATGTAGCCCCCAGAGCCACTGTTCACAGCTTTCCAAGAGTCAACTTTTCCCTCTTCCAAGACCCTGAGTGTCCTTGCAGGAAAAGGGGGTTTCTCTCTTACCCTCATGCATCAACAAACACTGAAGGTCTGCACCCCAGACTCACTGGAGGGGCTGGAGAGAGTTGGGGCCAGGCTAAGGCTCTTATCTTGACTGAGCCTAACTCTGGTTCAATCTCTGGCACCTCATGATCCCTGAGACTCACTGGAAGCGACACATGAGCACAGAGCTGGGAGCTGCCTTGAGGACCAGTGAGGGAGGAAAAGTCAAACAGAACAAATCCCCAGAACAAAGAATCAAACCAATCCCTTCAGTCCTCACACTCTGCCTGCCACCAAGAAGGAGCCCCCGCCTCCTGCCCAGACCTCACAGTTGCCTCTCACTGGACTTCTGGCTTCTACCCCGACTCTCACAGCCTGATCCCTAGCAACACCCAGGGGACCCCAGAATAGAAGCCCAGGTACTCTCCACAGTGCAGACTGAGTCCCTCATTTCTCCTATTTACTGTTTGGTTGGTTGGTTTGTTTCTAGGCATAAGGGTCAGTGCTGAGCCCTTAGTGCTTAGCCTCAGTGCTTGGGGACCAGTCCTAGGGATGCTCAAGGGATTATAAGGGGCAAAATTGAAAAGAAACTAAGAACGGTGAACATTCCTGACTTGTTCCCACAGATCAGGGCTGTTCTGAGCATTCTCCCATTTCTGCACTTAGTCTTCCAGCAGCTCCCTGGGCCAAATGTTCTTATCAGTATGTTTCATTGGAGGGGAAAACTGAGGCACAGTTCTTTGTTCCAGCCACACAGTGAGTAAGACACAGCGAGTAAGTGCACAAG